GTCGTATATATATATATATATATATATATATATATATATATATATAAAATTGTTATTTTTAAAATTTAATTCAAAACATGTAATAAATATATTTTCAGAAAAGATAAGAATGAGATAAAGTTTGCATATCAAGCTTTGAACTATATCAAGAACTATATCAAGCTTTCAGTAATGATGTTATATACAATAACATTAAATTTTGATTTTTATTTAATGGTCATACAAAGTAATAATCTATTATCTTTTTATTAAATAATATTAAATAATAAATACACAATTTTAAACATTAGGCATATTGTTTATAACGCATGAGGATGTAAATTAAACAAAATAAACCGTATGTGTTTCTCCCAAACAAATCAAAATAAACTAAAAAGAACAAATTAATTTGTTAAGAATCACCAATCTTATCATTTGCGTGTCAGTAATCAACTATCCCATTAATATACATTCCAGGAAATAAATAAATTAGTAAATCTACCCTAAATATAAAAAAAAAAAACAATGTGCTAAGCGAGTCAAAAATCATGCAGACAATTTATGTCATGCTGGATGAAAGAAAGGAGCCGTAAAAGGGAAACCTGAAAAAGCGAAACCGAACCTTAATCGCAGAGATCACGAAAACTCTGGCCCATCAGGGTTGATACCCCTCCGGCGTGGTGTTGTTCTCCCGGGTGCGAGAGCGCTTCACTGTCGGACAGAAAGAAAAGAGACGCAAGAACGCTAGGCCACCCCGTTAGCAAGCATTGTTGCTAATTGAAGTAAAGTCTTAATTGAAGTAAAGTTATTGTAAATGTATCTAAATCAAAATAGTTGCTGAATCCATTCCGGTTAGTCATCGGAGATGAAAATAAAGTGAGACCATCACCGTATATTTCATGGTTTGATCAGAAAAGGATAATTGAAGAAAGAATGGATTAGGATAAAACGGAGGTCAAAAGTGGGATAGATTCTCCACCTTCGAGAAGTACCTTTGGAAAGTCATTTATAGGTCGAACATGCTGTCGTAGCGACGACTATTATTCTTTTAGAGTTAGTTTTTTTTTACATGTGTAGAATTTCACGCATACGCTTGGAATTATTATATTTTATGTTTTAATATAATTCTATAAATTTAATATAATGTTTAATATGCTATGTTTTATATCCTTATTGTTATTCATCGTTAAGATTTTGTGATCTCTCTCTCTCTCT